ACGTTCAAGGTAAATTTTGCGTGCTCGTTGATAGAGTGGGCAATCTAACAGAATGTGGCTACCAGATGCTGGAACCTGATAATTCTCACAGAGAGGAACAGGGTGCCTCTCCACGAGATACCCGTGAGTAAGATAAGTGTGGCCAATAAGATGGGAGAGAGTAGTCTCCCAACCTTGACACTGATGACAAGAAGATGGCCAGTAACCTATACTCGGTTTAATAGAATGAAGTTTGTTATTGAGCAGATCAGAACAACGTTGTTGCCAAAGGGTGTGAAGGTGGGTAGCAATTACAGCAAAATAGTCTGTGAATGGAACACCTCTATGTGAAACTGGAAGGTCGTGTACTCCTGACAACACAGCAGTGTCTGCCTGTTCATTGCCCTGTATGTCAACATGACCAGGGATCAAACAAAAAAATCTTTATGCTTGGTAGAGATATGGTGTAACCAAAGTTGGATACAGAGAACTAGGAGATGAGGTGTATCAAATTTTCGTATAGCTGGTTAAGCACTAAGGGAGGCTGAAACAGCCACAAATGGTGACACAGGCATAGAAGCAATACTGATAAGTGCTGCAAGAATGGCATACAATTCAGCAGTAAAAATGCTAGCAAGGATAGTAAATGCCCATGCTCGACACTTTTCGGAAACACTGCTGCGAATCCAACGCCGTCAGAAGACTTAGAGCCATCTGTGTATACAGCGATGGCATGAGAATGAAAGCAGAAGTGGTCAAGAAAAAGAGAGCGGGAAGCAACCGTAGGCAGTTGGGCTTTCACGCAGCGGAGTGAGAAAGAACAGACTTGAACAGCTGGAACTTCTCAGGGAGGCAGGGAAAAGTGAGATGCTACATGTACATAGAAAGGTGGTAACTGAAGGGAAGACAAGAGCGAATGGAGGCAAAGAGAAAAGGGATGGAGTAAACAGGGGCGACGAACAAATGTCTACTAACATCGGTGACTGTTCTATATATGGAAGGATTACGGAGATAATGAGAGCGAACATAGCAGCGAAGGCAATGGGCATCACGGCGATCAGACAAGGATGAAACATTTGCTTCAGCATAGAGGTTCTCAACAGGGAAAGAGCAAAAAGCACCAAGGCATAAATGTAATCCCTGGTGATGGATGGCATTAAGGCTATAGTGATTAGCAGGAGAGGCTGCTGAATAGATCTGGTCACCATAATCGAGTTTTGATAAAACGAGGCCTGAATGTAGGTGAAGGAGAGTTCGGCGATCAGCTCCCCATGAAAGGTGAGTGAGGGTTTTAAGAAAGTTCAGCCGGCTGTGACAAGTTGCCTTCAGAGAGGTAATGTGAGGTTTCCAGGATAACCTACAGTCAAAAAGAAGGCCTAGAAATCTCACCATATCACGTTCAGGGATATGTTAGCCATAGAGGTTCAAAGCATGATCGGAGATGACAGAGCGTCTAGTGAAAGTAATTTGGTGAGTTTTAGTACTGGAAAATTTAAACCCATGCATGGTGGTCCAATTGGAAACACAGTTGACTGCATGCTGGAGAGAAACTAATGAGGTGACACTCAGTGCCTGCACAAGCAATAGTGAAGTCATCAACATAGGGTTATGACCAAATATTGGAGGGAAGAGAGGCCAAATCATTTATAGCAAGGAGAAAAAATGTGCTCAGAACACATCCCTGGGGGACACCTTCAGCTTGGACAAAGTCCAGGGAGAGCATATTATTAACCGAACACGGAAATGTCTGTCAGTTAAGAAGTTCTTAAGGAAGGATGGTAGATTGCCTCGGAGGCCTAAGGAGTGGGCTTGGGCCAAAATATTATACCTCCAAGTTGTGTCATATGCCTTCTCAAGATAAAAAAAATATGGCAATAACTGAGGTAGTAAGAGGTCTATGGTAGAATGGCCCTTACGAAAGCCATGTTGACTAGTGAAGAGACTGTTGTGTCTCTAAATACCACATTAAACATCGATTTACCAGACGTTCCATCACTTTGCAATCTGCACTAGTAAGAGCAATGTCCCGTAGTACCTGGTTTGAGGAAAAGGAAAACAATGGCAGACTTCCACAGCTGGGAAAGAACTCCTTGTGACCAAATAAGATTGAAGAGTTGTAAGAGGACTGCAAGGGCAGACTGATGTAAATGTTGTAACATCTGAATATGAATGCCATCAGGCCCACCTGCCGATGATTGGCATGCTGAGAGTGTCGCCTCCAGTTCCGGAAGTGTGAAAGGCACATTATAAGATTCTTCTTTGAAAGAAGAAAAGTCTAAGGGTGCTAACTCTCTGGCAGACTTTGAGGAAAGAAACAAGGGGCATAGATGGAGCCCCTGAGAAATATGGACCAGATGATTGCCAATTTCAATGGCAACATCAAGTGGGTTTGCTATATCATCACCGGCAGCCTGCAGAACAGGAGCCAGATCAGGACAGTATTTACCACTCAGTTTCTGTACTTTTTTCCAGACGGCACTCATAGAGGAAGCCGAGGTGATGGTGGAAACATAATCTCACCAGCAAGTGCGCTTAGCGTCACAAATGACACAGCGAGCAACTGCTCACTTCTGCTTAAAATCAAGAAGTCTCTCTGTGATTCTATTGTATCTGTACCTGCTCCACGCAGAACATTTCAAACGTACTTCCCAAGCACAAGCAGGAGACCACCATGGCATGCACTTCTGAGAATGCCTGCCCAAGGTTTGGTGTATAGAATGAGAAGCTGCATTTAAAACTGACGTCGAGGTGTAAAAGCTCATCAATGGAGGAGGAAGAAGGAACCTCATTAAAAGCAGTTAGTTGTAAGTAAAAGTCCCAATTTGCTTGACCAAATTGCAAGTTCTTAACCAATATATGATAATTCATGTAATATTATTATTTGTCTAACGCTGTATTATAAGGTTTCCCGAGAATTATTTATACCCCAACCTCTCTGACCAATGTTGTTATGCTCTAACCAGAAGAAAACTATCTGGGATGAAATAAAAATTGGAGTGTAATAGGTAACGATGTGTTTTTGCATAAAAATATTGGCTTGACCAATGATGAAAAACTTGGCTAAGGACATTCATCCCGAACATGTCTGCCTGTCCATCCAGCGTGTGCACCTTAACTGCCTTGCCTTCAGCTAGTGTGCCATTGTTTACAACCCACTGCGGATGGTTCCATGCATACATTCGATACATTTTCTATTATTCCATTGTTTTTAGTGCTTCTAACTGCTAACTAAGCCACCATGGGCCCAAAGAAAGCTTTTAATGCCAACCCTGTGGTAAAAAGGGTGAGGTGCACTATTGAATTGAAGAAAGAGATAATCACAAAGTACAAAAGTGGAGTGCATGCCTCCGAGCTGGCCCAGTTGTATAACAAACCCCAATCAACCACCGCTACTATCTTGGCCAACAGAAAGACAATCAAGGAAGCTGTTGTTGTGAAAGGTGCAAGTATGTTTTCAAAACAGAAATCCCAAATACTCAAAGATGTGGAGAGACTTGTTGGCTTGGATAAACGAAAAACAATTATCAGGAGATAGTGTTTCACAGTCAATCATATGTGAAAAAGCAAGACAGTTGCATGATAATCTAGTTAAGAAAATGCCTGGAATTAGTGGTGATATTAGTGAATTTAAGGCCAGCAAAGGTTGGTTTGAAAGATTTAATAATCACAGTGGCATACACAGTGTGATAAGCATGGCGAGGCTGCCAGTTCGGACCAAAAAGCGGCTGAAAAATATGAGCAGGACTTTAAGAAGTACAGTGGACCCCCGGTTAACGATATTTTTTCACTCCAGAAGTATGTTCAGGTGCCAGTAATGACCAAATTTGTTCCCATAAGGAATATTGTGAAGTAGATTAGCCCATTTCAGACCCCCAAACATACACGTACAAACGCACTTACATAAATACACTTACATAATTGGTCGCATTCGGAGGTGATCGTTATGCGGGGGGTCCACTGTACATAGACACTGAAAAATTAAAACCCCAACAAGTGTTCAATTGTGTTTGAAAAAGCCTTTTTTGGGAAGGAAATGCCAAACAGGCCCTACATTACTCAGGAGGAAAAGGAACTCCCAGAGCACAAGCTATGAAACACAGGTTAACTCTAATTTTTTTGTAGTAATGTAGTGGGGATTGAAAAGTAAAGCCTTTACTCCGGGTATCACTCTGAAACTCCCAGTGTGTTTAAGAAAATTTGTGTCTGATGGGGAAGGCAAACAGTTAAGGCATGGGTCACTAGGGACATTTTCTTGATTGATTCTAGGTGTGATTGGCCCCACTGTGAAAAATTACCTCCTGGAAAATAATTGGACCTCAAGTGTCTCCTGGTATTAGACAATGCTCCTGCTCATCCTCCAGACTTGAAAGAGTGAATTGTGTGGGAGTTTAGTTTTATCAAAGTCAAATTTTTTTGCCTCCTAACACCATCCTCCCTCCAGCCCACAGCCCGGCAGGTCATTTCAAATTTCAAAAAGTTTTACACCAAAGCAGTGTTTCAAAAGTGCTTTGAAGTGACCTCAGACACTGAATTGCTCTAAGAGATTTTTGGGAAAAAGATCACTTCAGTATCCTCAGTTCCATAAACCTTATGGTTTCTTATAGTTAAGGCTTGGCAGGGAGTGACTTGCAGGACTTTGAACTCTACTTGGAGGAAATTGTGGCCACAATGTGTACAAGAGAGGGATTTGAAGGTTTGGGGTGACCCTAAAGAGCCTGTGCCATTTTGAGTTAAGTATTGTGTCACTGGGAAAGTCCATGGGGTTGGAGGTTAGTGGCGGGGGATGTGGAAGAGTTGGTGGAGGACAACGATGAAGAAGTAAACAATGAGCTGAAAGAGCATCTGCAACACCAAGAGACCACAGCTGAGGAAATTTCTTCATAGGGGAGAGAGAGATGGAGGAAGTTGCTTCGTAAACCCATTAAGGAGATTTGTACAATGTGGACAAAGTTGCAAAGCCTTATGGATGAACTCACCCTGACACAGCTATTGCAAGCTGTGCTGGTGACTTTTACAATGACAATGTTGTGTCCCATTTAAGGGAAATCTTAAAGAAACGCCAGAAACAGAGCTCTATAGACAGATTTTTGGTGCGATAGAGGTCCAGTGACTGTCAAGTTGATCCAGGTGACATTAAAAAAAGAAGGGAAGTAACCCCGGAAAAGAACTTACTACCTAAAGTCCTAATGGAAGGGGATTCCCCTTCCAAGCAATAATACACCTTCATTATCTCCCCTCCTCTCATCACTCATCAATAAATCTTCAATAAAGGTAAGTGTCATTTATTCTTCATGTAGTATATTCTACATGTAGTATTTATTCTTCATGTATCACTTTTTTCTGAGTAGGAAAATGTATATTTCATGTGAAATTTTTATTTAATGCTTTTGGGTGTCTAGAACGGATTAATTGGACTTCCATTATTTCTTATGGGGAAAATTAATTTGGCTAACAATAAATTCGGCTAAGAACAAGCTCTCTGCAACGGATTAAAATAGTTGGTCAAGGGTCCACTGCACAAGTTATACAGGCCTAGCTGACATCAGTCACATACTATATAGAAAGCTGCTTGTTATACACAGCATTTCAGGCAAATTAGGTCAATTTTGTCCCAGGATGCAACCCACACCAGTTGACTAACATCCAGGTACCCATTATTACTGATGGGTGAACATAGACCACCGGTGTAACACGTGCAATGTTTCCACCTCTTTGCTAGGAATTGAACCCGGACCCTCAATGTGTGAAGTGAGAGCTTTTCCCACCAGGCCATGGAGTACACTAACATGATTTCTAACTTGTATGAATTCTTTTATGATTTATTTACTAAATTAGATGAATGGAAAAACTTTTTTTATGTATGTTGAAAACTGACTTCTGATGTGTCATACCACACTTGAATTTTCATTCAAGTCATTCTGAACAATGATATGGTTTCTCTCCAGTATGAGTTCTCATGTGACTAACTAAATTTGATTTTTGATTAAAATCTTTTAGACATTCTGGACACTGATATGGTTTCTCTCCAGTATGAGTTCTCATGTGTCTCACTAAATCCTTTCTATGGGAAAAGCCTTTTAGACATTCTGAACACTGATATGGTTTCTCTCCAGTATGACTTCTCATGTGACTCACTAAATTTGATTTTTGATTAAAGTCTTTTAGACATTCTGAACACTGATATGGTTTTTCTCCATTATGAGATTTCATGTGACTCACTAAATTTGATTTTCTAGAAAAGTTTTTCAAGCATTCTGAACACTGATATCGTTTCTCTCCAGTATGAGTTCTAATGTGTCTTACTAAACCATTTCTATAAGAAAAGTCTTTTAGACATTCTGAACACTGATATGGTTTCTCTCCAGTATGAGTTCTCATGTGACTAACTAAACTTGATTTTTGATTAAAGTCTTTTAGACATTCTGAACACTGATATGGTTTCTCTCCAGAATGAATTCTCATGTGACCAACTAAATGTGATTTTTGATTAAAGTCTTTCAGACATTCTGGACACTGATAAGGTTTCTCTCCGGTATGAGTTCTCATGTGTCTCACTAAATCCTTTCTATAAGAAAAGTCTTTTAGACATTCTGAACACTGATATGGTTTCTCTCCAGTATGAGTTCTAATGTGTCTTACTAAATCATTTCTATAAGAAAAGTCTTTTAGACATTCTGAACACTGATATGGTTTCTCTCCAGTATGAGTTCTCATGTGACTAACTAAACTTGATTTTTGATTAAAGTCTTTTAGACATTCTGAACACTCATATGGTTTCTCTCCAGTATGAGTTTTCATGTGACTAACTAAATTTTTTTTTTGATTAAAGTCTTTTAGACATTCTGAACACTGATATGGTTTCTCTCTAGTATGAGTTCTCATGTGACTTATAAAACTTGATTTTCTAGAAAAGTTTTTCAGACATTCTGAACACTGATATGGTTTCTCTCCTGTATGAGTTCTTATGTGTCTTACTAAATGAGATTTCTCAGAAAAGTTTTTCAGACATTCTGGACACTGATATGGTTGCTCTCCAGTATGAGCTCTCATGTGACAAACTAAATTTGATTTTCTAGAAAAGTTTTTCAGACATTCTGAACACTGATATGGTTTCTCTCCTGTATGAGTTCTTATGTGTCTTACTAAATGAGATTTCTCAGAAAAGTTTTTCAGACATTCTGAACACTGATATGGTTTCTCTCCAGTATGAGTTCTCATGTGACCAACTAAATGTGATTTTTTATTAAAGTCTTTCAGACATTCTGGACACTGATAAGGTTTCTCTCCAGTATGAGTTCTCATGTGTCTCACTAAATCCTTTCTATAAGAAAAGTCTTTTAGACATTCTGAACACTGATATGGTTTCTCTCCAGTATGAGTTCTCATGTGTCTTACTAAACGAGATTTCTCAGAAAAGTTTTTCAGACATTCTGAACACTGATATGGTTGCTCTCCAGTATGAGTTCTCATGTGTCTTACTAAATGAGATTTCTCAGAAAAGTTTTTCAGACATTCTGGACACTGATATGGTTTCTCTCCAGTATGAGTTCTCATGTGTCTTACTAAATGAGATTTCTCAGAAAAGTTTTTCAGACATTCTGGACACTGATATGGTTGCTCTCCAGTATGAGCTTCCATGTGACTTACTAAATTTGTTTTCCAGGAAAGTCTTTTAGACATTCTGAACATTGATATGGTTTTTGTTCATTATGAGTTCTCATATGTTATACTAAATTCTGTTGTTGAGAAATCTCTTTTACACACTTTTTTTTTTTTTTTTGTCCATCATAAATCTGGCCAGAGATACACAGTGAGGTGGTTGCAAGGAAGACTGTTTTAGTGAGTGTATATGTTGATATAATGTGTCTCCTTCATGAACAACTGCACATTGTATTGCTTCAACACACTTATTTTTCAAGTGTTTTAGACATAGTGAATGATAATATTCTCAATTAATTGAATTTTCTTAAGTAGAAAAAAAATATTTGTGTAATATTTTATTATTATTTTATATAATAAGCACTAAAGCTGTGAAAGTAATACAGTATCTGAGGAATATGAAGCGAGACAGTAGGAGATATTTCAGTTTATGACACATTAACCTTATGGCACTGTTGTTGGCCCTGTAAATGTTTTATTACCAAAACTGTTGTTACATTATTGTGACTTTAACACTATTAAATTTTTATAAACACTGTTGCATTGTCACTATTTTAACATTGATGTGTTGTCACTGCATTAACACTAAAGTGTCACTGCATTAATACTGTAGTGTTATCACTGTATTAATTACACTAAAGTGTTGTTACTGAGTTAATATCACTGTAGTTCTGTGTTGTCTCTTGATTATTAACATTTCTAGGTAATACTGTCACTGTATAATTAATTGTAATTTGTGTTGCACTGTATATTCACTCTATAGTTATTGTATGTTATTAAAAAATGTAGTTAGTGCTGCCATTATATTACCAACATTGTAGTTAGTGCTGTAACTTCATATTAAAGAATTTACAGGACATTTCTACCACTGATATTGGCACTACAAGTGCCATCATGACCTGCAATACTGATGCAAGTGTCGGAAGACCTGCAATATTGATACTACATGTGCCCCAACCCCTTGCACCCAAGATAACATTTTAGTACTGATGCTACAAGTTCCTGTGTCTTGGTTTCTTGTTCCGCAGTAACTTGGAGTAATGTCAAGATGACCTGCAGTGCAGACACTACAAGTACTAGCTTCCTGTACCAAGATCATATGCAGAACTGACATTACAAGTACCAGCCTCTTGTACCAGGATGATCTGCAGTATTGACACTACAAGTGTCAGCCTCTTGTACCAGGATGACCTACAGTAATGACACTACAAATGCCAGTATCGAGTGCCAGGATCACCTGAAAAAAATTATATAATTTTTTTTTATCACATCAGTCATTTTCCACCAAGGCAAGATGACCCTACAGAGTTGCTTACACTACAGTTAATCCTTTGACTGTTTCAGTCATATACATATGTCTTACGAGCCACCGTGTTTGACATATTAATACGCCAAAATTCTAGCGGCTTCAAATCAAGCAGGAGAAAGCTGGTTGTCCCACATTTGAGAAAATGGGTCTCCATGGTCAGTGTACACTATATAAAAAAAATCGGGGAGCCAGTGGTGCACTGTGGGAATGCCATTTCAGTAGTCCTTGTTCATCATGCCTAGTGGTAAGAAATATCTGACTCCCCAGCAAATCTGGGACTCTTCTCTTCCCAAGTGATGCTCTAACACGATGGAAGTGTCGGTGAAGATCAATTTCATGGTTTTGAGGACTTGTGACCAAAAGCATTGCCCAGGATACCAGAAAAATGAAGGGGAATGAAGGAGAATAAGAGAATAAAAGAGTGAGTGAGAGAGAATTAGAGAATGAAAGAATGAGAGAGAGAATGAAGGAGAAAGATACAGTAATTAGGTAGGAGGATGGAGGAGAAGCGATCATCGGACCCCATTGTTTTGACAGGTGGTAGGGGGAGTGAGTAATGATACAATATGTTATTTTGACAGCTGGCGGAGACACAGACGCTCACACACTACACAAGCTTACTGAAGATAATACCAGTTACTATATGAAAGTGTCCTGTGACTATATATGTGTATATATATTATAGAACAATAGTAATAAAAAACTGTTTGTATTGTTTGTGTAAACAAATTTTGTAAACAAGTCAGCGGCAGCGGCAGCAACGGTATCCTACCAGCTCTTCTTTCTCAAAAAAACATCGCCCATCAAAACTTGTGATGGCCTAAGTGAAAGTTCAACTACATGAACCCACGTAGACCACAACATGACCCAAGAATACTAAGAATGTAACCCAAATCTTGACAAAATTAGAAGATCTAAGGAAGACAGCCCTGCTAACCCAAACACTGCCTCCGCTGCCAGACAACCACTTAACCCAAGCTCCGAGAAAACAAGCCTTCTCCTCCATTGCTACACAGTATCTACTTCGTGATACTATGAAAGGATATCGCAGAAGAAACAACACCAGTAATAAAAGAATAACAGCAGGACCCTAGAACTCAACTTGTCTACCCAGCAGGACGCCAGTGTTCATCAAACCCCCCCACCGCCGCCACCCAAGGAACAACAACAACAACAACAAACATGGCGGACTCCCCCTCCAACTCCACTCCCTTTAAAGGAAACATCCATGATAACTCAGGTATTATTCCTGACAATATCAAGGACTACATCGTTGCTCTAGAAAAATGAAATCAAAGATATCAAAGCGCACTCGAGCGACGAGATTCCCAAAATAACCAACCTCGAGAATAAGATCCAAAACCTTGAAGAGAAGATTACATCGGGAAGGGGTTGACACAGAAAATACTCTAAAAGCGCTATAGCCAGTCACACTGAGCAAATAACAACAATAAATATGAAGGTTGAAAAAAGCAATTCAAGGACTGGAATCAGAACATGCACACTCGACTAAATGAATACCTTGATTTCCAAGACGACAAAAAATGAACAAGATAAGTTGTTGATGCGTTATAATAAACAGTCCACACATTCCTAGTGGGCATAACACAAGCACAGTGCAAAGAAACTGCTGTCAGGATAATACAGAACCACGTACAAGTCATCGTGCAAAACAATGAAATTTAAAAAAACAGTTTGCTAGGAAAAACCCGGAAGTAAACACAGTATAAAGATCAGACTTCATTCATACGATAAAAGAAAGGACCTAATTAAATCAGCAATTACAATGAAAAAATGGAGTGTACATAAATGAGTGTCTAACAAAAAAAACGTCAAAACCTTCTGTTCAGGCTGAGAAAACTTAAACAGGAAAACAAAATACATCAGTGTTTCACGCGAGATGGGAAAATACTAGTAAGGAAAACATCAACAGGACAACAATATACCATCTCAAACGAACATGATTTCTCTACCTTCCTTAGAAAAGCTGACATTTCTGTAACAGATTAGATAAGTGCCCTTAATACATATATACGTGTGGTGCATATAGTGTACGTTACTATTATATTGTACATTATTATTTTTATTATTTTTCATCACTAGCTAGTGAAACATATAAGTGAACAGTATTTAGATAAGGCTAAAGAGGTCTTTGTGGCATTTATGGATTTGGAAAAGGCGTATGACAGGGTGGATAGGGGGGCAATGTGGCAGGTGTGCAAGTGTATGGTGTAGGAGGTAGGTTACTGAAAGCAGTGAAGAGTTTTTACGAGGATAGTGAGGCTCAAGTTAGAGTATGTAGGAAAGAGGGAAATTATTTCCCAGTAAAAGTAGGCCTTAGACAAGGATGTGTGATGTCACCCTGGTTGTTTAATATATTTATAGATGGGGTTATAAGAGAAGTAAATGCGAGGGTCTTGACAGAGGCGTGGAGTTAAAGATAAAGAATCACACACAAAGTGGGAGTTGTCACAGCTGGGTCTTTGCTGTGACACTGTGCTCTTTGGAGATTTGAAGAGAAGTTGCAGAGATTGGTGGATAATTTAGTAGGGTGTGCAAAAGAAGAAAATTAAAGGTGAATACAGGAAAGAGTAAGGTTATGGGATTAACAAAAAGATTAGGTGATGAAAGATTGAATATCAGATTGGAGGGAGAGAGTATGGAGGAGGTGAATGTATTCAGATTTTTGGGAGTGGACGTGTCAGCGGATGGGTCTATGAAAGATGAGGTGAATCATAGAATTGAAAGAGGGAAAAAGAGTGAGTGGTGCACTTAGGAGTCTGTGGAGACAAAGAACTTTGTCCCTTTGGGGGCAAAGAGGGGAATGTATGAGAGTATAGTTTTACCAACGCCTTATATGGGTGTGAAGCATGGTGAGAATTTTGCAGCGAGGAGAAGGCTGGAGGGAGTGGAGATGTCATGTCTGAGGGCAATGTGTGGTGTGAATATAATGCAGAGAATTCGTAGTTTGGAAGTTAGGAGGAGGTGCGGGATTACCAAAACTGTTGTCCAGAGGGCTGAGGGGGGGTTTTTGAGGTGGTTTGGACATGTGGAGAGAAGGGAGCGAAACGGATAACTTAAAGGTGTATCAGTCTGTAGGGGAAGGAAGGGGGGGGTGGGGTGGGCCCTGGGAAAAGGTTGGGGGAGGGGGAAAAGGAGGTTTTGTGTGCGAGGGTTTGGAAATTTCCCCAGCGGGATGCATGGCGTGTTTGATAGGGTGAATGGAGACAATGGTTTTTAATACATAAGTGGGGTTTGGGGTGACAAAGTAACATTTATGAAGGGATTCAGGGAAACCGGCAGGCCGGACTTGAGCCCTGGAGAGGGAAGTACAGTGCCTGCCTTAAAGGAGGGTTTTAAATTTTTTGCATTTTAAAAAAACTGTAGTGAAAAGCACCCTTCGGGAAAGACGTGATGGAGCAAATGATGGTGAAAGTTTTTTTTTTTTGGGCCCCCCTGCCTTTGGGGGGGAATCGGCCAGTGTGATAAAAAAAAAAAATAAAATTTTAAAATTAAAGTCAAATCTTACTCCAAATTAAAAATTTTTCATTTTTTTTCTTCCCTGTCATTTAAATTTTGTTTATCACTACTTGTTTTTTAGCACTTTTCATTGTGTATGAAATTTTAGTGTAAAACCCAATTTACTTTTTGCAAGTACCAAAACTATCTTTTGCAGTAGTACCAACTACCTCATTTTTTTTTTTTTTTATTTTATTGTGAAATAAATGCTAAATTTATTAATATTAAAAAATCGATCTTACCCTAAACCAATATTATTTCATAGTGCCTCTGTCCATTTAATTTTGTTTACCATTATTTTAATTTTAGTCCCTTTTATATTTTCCCCTTTATTTTAGCTTATATCTACCCAGTTTATCATTCACAATTGTTAAAAAAATCAAGGTGCTATTCTCAGGTGTAAAATAGAACAAGTTTACAAATTTTTCCCTTAATTCCAAAGCTCTTTTTTTTTT